CCAAAAGTCATTTTGCAAAGTAGACACAAAAGCGTTCAATTTTTCCTCTCAGGCAGATCGATGTTTTGAGCCTATACCTTTTCATTCTACTCAATTAAGCTCAGTGAATCATTTTTAACCAAATCAGTGATTTTGACTCCTCTACCGCCTGAGCAAGGTCGTATCGGGGATTAGATATGATATTCGTAGCCAGACATTCAATAACCCTAAAAGCTACTTGGCAACAATGCGTTCCCCCCAATCCGAAAAAGCCTCTCGAGCCTTCATGATTTCTGCTTCCCTCGACCAGTTGGTAAGGCAAAGTAACTATAGAGAAAAACATCTTTCAAACAGCAAATAATGAGTTGTCAGAGTCTCGGTTTATTCAAACTTTATCGAGTTAAACGACATGAACTTGTCACAGCCTCATAATCATTCGAAATGTTAATCTTTCTCCTTTATCAATCTGTAAGTTCTTATTGCATAGCTTTCTGCAACATACAAATTTCCACACTATACGAAGGATTTATGTTAAAGACGCAACTACGAAATGTCCAACCAAACTGAATTTTTTCTAAGAAATAAAAAATATTCAAGAGAAAATGCACATGTTGAGATTCGCAATAAAAGACGTTGTCGAATGTACAATGTTAAAGAAATTCCAAATCACTTCATGTGTCTCTATCGTTTATGGGAAAATTTCGACATTTTAAATCGTAAGCGTCCATAACCTTCTAAGCTTGATCCTTCTACAGGTTGTGATGGTGCAGTCACATGCACGGGTGCTGGAGCTCGTGTTGAAGGTGTTGGTGGTATTGCTGGTGGACCTGCTGCATAACTTTCTACGTCTGATATTCGTCCTAACACAGCTTCACTGGGTTGTGTGGTTGTAGTCACATGTACAGGCGTTGGAGCTGGTGTTGAATATGTTGATACTGTTGCTCCTGAATCTCTGTAACCCTCTATGTCGTTTCCTACTTCCACAGCCCGTTCTTCTCCTACTATGTGTTGACAAGGTTGTATTGTTGCAGTTATATGCACGGGGGCAGGAGGTGGCTCTGTGTACTTTAATGGTTTTGGTCGTGAAATTCCATGAGTTTGTACTTCAGTTCCTCCTTCCAATACAGCTTCTACTGGCACTGGTGCTGCAGTTACGTACACG